AACAAATACAATTTAATTAATCCAGAATCATGTGTTTCAGTTCTTGAAGTTAACGTAAACACATAGCCTATCAAAAACCTTAATTAAATTGTCACAGTACTGTATGTCAATTTCTTCCAATGAATAAATGACCCAGGTATAATTATTTGGGAGAGCCAAAATATTATCACAAGCTTTCATGTTGTTGTTCATGTTGTTGTTCATGTTGTAAAAATAGCAAAATGATTATCATTATCATAATACTGTACTGTTTGTTTATGAATCAAGAATATATTATAATAAACAAACCTAAAAAACCATCAATAGGTCCTCAAGGCAATGAGACTATTTGAGAATGAGTTCATAATGAAAGGTAAAAACAAACTCAAATTGCAGATACAATTTAATAAGCAAACATAATCTCTTGACTAGTCCAGGAGCTGAGAGGGTTTGAGCATGCATGAAAGTAGTACGCAATGTTATTGCTGATTATTGTAATATGGACTGTGGTGATCAAAATTACGTATGTCGCCTATTTCAAAAGTGGTCGATAAGGTGGGGGGGAGGGGGCAAACATGGCGGTTTGCGCTATGCGTTAAAACGCTGATAGTTCGAAAACGGTAAAAGATAGAACATCAGTTAAAACGTTGTTGGGATTCTAAAAATGTGGACAACAATAATGGTTATTGGGTCCGAGGTCGTATCTCTATAAATAAACAAGTTATTGTATAAAATATGTAAAAATGGACTTTTCGTGTAGTTTTTTTATCGAAAGTAGAATTAATTTGTGAGTGTCGCAAAGAAGTAATACCAAATATCTTTGCTGATAGTTGTAATATGGACTGTGGTGATAAAAAATACGCATTTCGCCTACTTTTCAGGTGGTCGAGAACTTGGGGGGAGGGGGGCAAAGATGGCGGAACGCGCTATGCATCGAAACGACTGTAGCTTGAGAACGGTATACGAGAGAGCTCCTCGTCTGCTTTCTGCTTACGTTTACACTCCTACACGCTTACATCAAAATAATTTTCTTACTTCTTGTTTTGTCATTTTTGAACGTACGTAGAACCTACTAATGCCGAAAAGAAATTTGTACTCTCAGTCAAGTTGAAAAAGGGATTTGTTGCGAAAAACGTGTAGCCTACTTCTCCAACCTTTAGGCCGGCCGCACACTGATGCGACAAAACGTCTTTCAACAAAACGTTTTGTCGAAAGACGTCGGAAGGGAGTGGCCTACCATGCAGTTAAATGGAGGCATCACACACTGATGGGACATAGGCTTCAGACGTGTTGTTTTGTCTGAAGACGTTTTTGGGTGTTTTTGTGATAGCCTCCAATATTTCGTCTGAAGCCAAAACGCGATCAGACAAACAGTTCTGCGCATGCGCGGAGGGCGGATACAGTACAACTTATCCAGCCTATTGTAATAATTTAACTAATATTTTAATTTAAAATATTTCAACTTATCGGTACTATAGGTATTGTAATAATTTTTCTTACAGTTAGTAGTTGTTCATTTTCGATTTATGCAGAAAATAATCAAAATTGTATTTCAATTTCAAATATTTCGGCTTCCTTATTTTGTAATAATTTTCTTTACAGTTAGAAGTCGTTAATTTTAGATTTATGCAGAAAATACAAAAAATGTATGCTACCTTTCCCCGTTTAGTTCTGCAAGTTGTATTAAGTTCCACAACATAATTGCTACGTCCACTTCCTCATCAATTTTATTAACATCACGCAATCTCTGGCTTTTCCAACACTGGTCTACGGGTGACTGGGGAGACTGAATTTAGTTTTCCCTCCTGTTTTTGTCTTTTGTCTAAAAACATTGCACACCAATGTGACATTTTTTTCCCCCGACAAGACGTCTTCCAACAAAACGTTTAGTCAAAAGATGTTTTATCTGATCAATGTGCAGCCGGCCTTAAGCATTTGCATCATCCTCCGAAATAGACCGATTTGTTCTTTAAACATGACTCTAAATTCAATCATTTTGCTCATGTTTCTGAAGAAACTGCATTTCACACTGTAGTAAAAACCACCATGGAGTTGAGTAGTAGTTGAGATGTAAATCTACTAGTTTGGAGTCTACATGGATTGTACCACTAAACTACAAAGTGTGTTGTTTAAAGACTCCTAGTCTTGCAAAACATATTTCTAATCCAGTAATTTGATATTAACTGAGTGGGGATCCAGTAATTCAGACAAAAGTTTTGGAGTTAAAAGCCTAAGTTGCCAATTTTTTTCAATAGCATTGTTAACATAAGCATGCCTGAATCAAAAATTAAAAGCAAATATTTTAGAGATAGTACGGTAAATTCTTTGCAAGAAAACAAAAATTCTAGTTTAAAACTTCTAAAACTTACAATATAGGCTGTTTTTATGAATTGTCAGAGAATATTTAGTTTAAAATGCAAGGTACCAAAAAGTGTGAAGGACCTGAAGCCCTACCACCAACGTTGAGGGTCGAAGAATAACACTCCTACGTTTGATGTTTCAGAAGAAGTTTTTTTCTTCTTTGTTTAACGTTTTCCTTTTCCCGATTTATCGAGAGGTGTTTTATACCAGTTGGTTTTTATTTTCGTTTAAAAAGTCCTTTTTATTTTGTTTTCGAGAATATTTTATTTTTTCATTTACTTTTCCCCCTTGTACACGACCTCTCCCGATCTAACGCCGTTTCTTCAGCTACCCCTTCTACGAGACCTATGGTCCATCCCCCTACGTTTGAAATCGTTTTTTCTCTTTTTTTTCTCTAAGTTGGTAGCCTAAGGAGTGTGAGGTACCAAATATTAAGGGGGGTAAAAATGTACTGCTATTCAACAAACACCTTAACTTACCAGTTTTCAACAACAATAGCCTACTCCTAGGTCTATGTGTTGGCCATAGCTTGGGCTATGGGCCAAAGAACGTAGGCCTACTTTTAATAACAGTGAAGTACACAAACACACCCACAACTACATATTTATTTATAATAGCACTCCATTTTGCCAAATAAAGCTAAACTGACCGATTTTACGAATATTTATCGCCAATTACAACATGACATAACCTCGAAATGGTGTCTGTTGACCAACGACAGATGACAACTAGACCGGCTCAACAGGTGAATTTCCGATTAGCTGTTGGCTAGTTCTTGGTCTCACCACCAGAGCGCTTAAGCCGCGGCAATTGGGATTTGAGCCGAGACAAGATTATTCGCTGTTTGACTGCCGACTAGCTCGCTAGAAGCCTCTTTCACGAATACGACTACGACGACGACACTACGATTTTATTACGGAGGTTAGCTACCATACTAGTTAGGCTCTTTTCACGTTTTACGGTATTTTCATTTCATGCATTGTTAATGTATCATACATTTTCGCTTCCTTTAAGTCCCGATTTGAATTATCTAAATTTAATAACTTATTTTTTGCCGACTTGCATAATACCCGCCAGTTCCTGCCTGCCAATGACTAGCGGTGGATATCTTACGTTTGGTTTTAAATCAATTGGCTACGAAATTACGTTTATTCCGTTTGTTTTAACGATTAATTATTATTTAGATTATTTTAGTTAATTCGACGTTTTAATACCCCGAGACTTGTCTTCTGAGTTCTAAACCCTGTCTTTGGCGGGTGAAAGAATCAAGTCGGGAGTAGGCAGACTCGACAATCAGCTACGAATATCAGTATTAAATTTATTTAAAACAATCTCACGATAAATTCTCCGTTCAATTGTGTTAATTAGGCCCTGACGACTCTGTAGGGATTTGTATTCTAGATTTTGTTCATCCGATCGTCACACTTTTATTTATTTTACTAGTGGCTTTAGTTTATTATTTTAAAGCTTAATACTCTAGTATTTATACCACATTGGCTAAGATTGGATACTCGTCGGTCCTATAAAAGTTAAAAGTTAGGAAAAATTTATCAAAACACGTTGGTGAAGGTGAGGATGAAATAGGTAGCTCCTACTGAGCGTCTGCATGATTTCCTGAGCGCTTCTAGAGCTTTGAGCCTTCATGTTGTATGTTGTTTTTCTGAATCACTGATGATAACATATGTATAAGGTTACATTACCTTGATCGCCAAGTGATCCATGTCATCCAAGTCACATGGATCACTTGGCGATCAAGGTAATGTAACCTTATATATATGTTATCTGAGCCTTCGATTAAATTTTAATAAAATTATCAGTCAAAGCCGTGACAACTTCGTATCGACCCCTGGATTTTTCTCGGTCCTTCTGAGCACTCCAGGGAAGAAATTTGAGTGCGGCCGGTTCTAGGGGTCGGCCTAGCCTGACTTTGGTGAATACTAAGTTTATATTCCACCAAAGTAAAACACCAAAATACAAAATACCTTTCGGTTTTTAATTCCGAAATGCTGAAAGTTCTAGTACCTATTTAAAATAGTCTAGAAACACTTTTTTAAAGCCTTTAAAACACATAAAAGTAAATCTAAATTTAAAAAAAATTCCACTTAATTACAGAATGTCCTTTATGTTATTTTAACTCTTGAAAACTTAAAAAATTAGAATAAATTGTAACATATTTCCGTCTTGTCCATGAATATATTTTAGGCCCTTTCTTAACTCATGAAACCCCAACTAAAATTAGTATTTTACAATGCACGATCTAATAATCTACAAAACATAACAAATTTAGGCCAAAAATGTTGATTAAAAAGTAGCCTATTTTATGACAATTTTCCTACACACCGACATTTATGTGGAGAAATGGCCAGCATTCCTAAAAGCAATACCACAAGTAGGCCTGGAAAACCTCAAATAAAATTGTTTCACCCGCTCGAGGCACTCAAAGGGTTAAAAAATAGCTACCAGCTTAATGCAAAAAAATCTGAAAAGTAGCGTAGCTGCTGCTAACACTACAATAAAAGTAGCACGCTAATTCTCAACACTGTAAACTAACTAGATGCAGTTTGTATTTTATTGTTGGTTGAAAGTGTTTTTCGATGTCCATTGAATTTATAATAGCTCGTTAACAACTAATGTGTAGTGAGAATCCAGTAGATATTTACCTGAGTCCTGTCTGAAGTTAGGAGTGGAGGTGGGGGGACATTTGAACTACTTCTGTTCCTGGGCGCACAAAAACCTGGCTATACTTATGCCACTAATGCCAGTGTCTCCAACACATTCTGCCCTGATCACTGAGCCAATCCAAACTAGAAAATATGATGGAATTGAATACCTAGATTTCAATGGTCAAATTCACTAATGTTTCGCCTATATCATAGGATTTGGAGGGATAACTTTACAATGCCTATGTATAGGCGAAACCTGTAGTAAGATTGACCATAGCCTACTCTATTGAACTGTGGATGTAAGGTGTGTATACCTACCTTAAATAGGGTTGCCATATCCCCGGAGATTACCGGATTTTTACGTTAAAAATGTAGCTCCGGGGGATTTCTGCAAAAAGTGAGAAATCTCCTCTTTTTTTTCTCTCTATTAAAATACATTATAAAACGGCACTTTTGGAAAAAAATAAATGTTTGCCTTTGCTGATATCGTTATGCAATAACTGAAAAATGCAACTCTCATACTCTACTAGCCTAACGTTTTTTTATTCCTTGGTTTCACTTTCACTAGCAACACCCTTAGTTTATCTTTATCGTCTGTTTCATTGCTCCCAGTCCTTCAATTTGCGTCTGCCGGCCAGTCCGAAGGTATCCGTGCTCACTACCAAAGCCTAGCAGACAGAGAGCGTTTTGTTGCCTTTATTCGGTTTATTTGTTATTTATAAGTGAGATGTGACAAGCGATGCAACATTTAATATTTTGGTGTACCGTTTGAATATTGACATTGCGTAAACTTAGCATGAATATTGGGTATTTATTCCATATAGGTGCCTCCAAACGAATTTTTAATTTTTATATCTTACTTTATAGTTTTTTACCTTCTGAATCCAAATTTACCATTATTTTTCACCGCTGATGAATATTTCTCAAGATATCGCCGTAAAAACATACTTAACATTACAATAAACAAAATAGGATGGATAACATTTCAAGTGATTCTGTAGTCATATAACTTAATGTTCTCTATAATAGGAATTTCGTCACATTATTGAGATATAGATGGACTGGTGGACTAATAACATGTAGTTGTTATTTAGGCATGTCAGGGTGGTAGGTCGTGCTGAGAAAAACACTTCAAATTACTTTTTCAAAAATGTTTGCATTTTTGAAATAGTAATTTGAAGTGTTTTTTTCTGGATTTTAATTTTACAAAAACAGTCTGCAGGCGACATAAACTAACAACTTGATACATTATAACCTAAACTTTAACTTACCTAATCTAACCTACCTTCAAAGGACTTAATGCAGTCACCAATTCACATACAGCACGACCTATCACCCTGACATGCCTTTTCTGACATCAAAAGGAGTTTGCCTAAACACATTCTAGAGGTTTGGTTAGGTTAGGTTATGTTAGAATAGCACCATTTTATTAGGTAATTTCTAAACGGCGAAATATAAATCAATAAATCATTAATAAGGATAAAATACTGGTAACAATAATAAGTTATTAACTTATTGATCTTAGAAAGTGAAAAGTATAACTTAATCAGGTGATTTTCATATTGCAGAATCAGAATTAGCTAATTAAAGTTGTCACTACCATTTGCGTGACTGATTGAAAACAATCAGCTGTTGGTTTACTTAACCCATAGTTCATTCCACTTGTAAATGTCATCCACCCTACCTTGTTTATTGTAATGTTGTATATTATTACGGCGATATCTTGAGAAATATTCATCAGCTGTGAAAAATAATGGTATATTTGGATTCAGGAGGTAAAAAACTATAAAGTAAGATACCAAAATTAAAAATTCATTTGGAGGCACCTATACGGAATAATTACCGAATATTGGACAGAAACGGTATTAACTAATAAATATAAACAAATTACGTCACTGGCCCAAATGTCTATAGGCTAATAGCGGTAACAACTGGAAATTTTTTGACAGTTCCATTTAAATAAAAACAAAAATGTGTTTACTTTCGGGCTAGTGACATCATATTGTTAATGTTTAACTTAAGTTCATGACCCATAGTTTATGTCGTAATATTATTGCTACTAGGTACGGTATACAATTTTGCTAGCCCGATAAATTTTATCCACTATTATAGTGGGGGCCGCCAGCTAAAATCTCCTCTTTTTTGTACAATACCATATGGCAACCCTAACCTTAAATAATAATTTAATTTTACAGCCAATTGCTTTAATTGTTCTAGAGTGAAATTAACTTATACCTAGGCCTATTTGCTTTTTGTGACACCAGTAGGTAGGCTAAGTTACTTTGGTATTATTCGGAGGCCACCCTTATACAGCGAGCTGCGGCGGTTTTGTTAGGTTGGGTTAGGCCTATCATAAAATATATTTGCAGGATTTTTCTCATATTCGTTATGAATCAATGATACCAGATGAGCCATACTTTCGCCCCCCAAATCCCCTCCAAGTAGGCCAAGATCAGGTCGTTGTCCGGAGCGTACGCATCACCTGTCACCGCCTGTATATCTGGGTCAATGTCATAAATGATGACTCATCTGGTATTGTTAAATTCATAACAAAACGAGGACAGTCCTTCAAACATATTTATGATAACCCAACCTCACATAACCGCCGCAGCGCACTGTATACCTACTTGGGATGTGGTAGCTACTTAGCGGCGGCAACGCATTCAACTCAATCCTCGCCGATATCGCTGCCTTGTAGGAGGCAAAACTAAAAGGTCGCTTATCGTAATGATGTCAAATTTAATAGGTACGGTATGTTCTTTCCAATTAAGTAGTTAAGTTATTTTTGATCTCCGATAGGAAAATCCCTCTAAAATAAGTGGCCTCAGGATAATACCAAAGGTTGCACTTTAGTTTACATCCTAAATTTACTATTACACAATAGGCCTATACATTAACTACCAGAGCTGATTATAAAATGAAACTGTTCTAAACTAAGTTAAACCATAAACCTAACCTTAACTTAACCAAACTGCAGTAGGCTTATGTGAGTAAATGTAGGATGTAAACTAAGTGCAACCCAACCATACCTTTGTCTGATTTTTGTTATTAAAATCGTTGAAATTTATTTTACTAAGTTTTAAGTTTCTGCCACATCACTATAAACATGACTACATAACCTATTGCCGTGAGTTAAGTATGGAGAATATTTTCACACCTTAAACTATTGATGTAAGCTTAATTTAATTTTAGTTTTAAAATAAACTTTATGAGTCATTCAGATTGTTTGGTATTAGTATTCGAAGTACTGTGTTGTGTTTTAACATAAAATTACCTGTAATTTATTTCAAATATTTTGAACTTGAAGACAAAGAAAGGAAGGAATCTTACGTTTAGTCAGTACTGCCAACAGTGCCAAGCCAGCCAACTGCCACTGCCCTACTGCCGTCAGTGCCGTCTGCCTCTGCCAGCTGCCACTAACCACTACGCACTAGACTGAGACCTTGGGCTGAGACTACTACTCCAAGCCCGAAAGGATTTTTGAGATAAGAATATGCCTATGATAATCGGAAATAGCTGCGCGCGCACTACGGCGGCACGGCACGGACGAGCGGGCGGCACGGCAATTTTTAAAAGTTAATAACATTGAATGTAATATGAGTGCGCCCACTACGGCGGGACGGCCGGCAACGGACGTTCGGCAGCTTCCGCCGTTTGTTAAAAAGTCCGGGAGACAGAACTCTAGGACATTTCCGAGCTGCCGTACCGCCCGTACCGACCGGGAGCACTGCACACCGACCGAGCGGGCGGCACGGGACTTCTGCCATTCTCAACTGGTCTCTGTCAAAGTCGCAATGTTTTCGTGTGTTTTATAGGCTACTATGTGTGTTGTAAACATGGATGTTAGTAAGTTGATTGTTCTGGTTGAGAAATATACGAAACTGTGCGACATGCGACATCCGGAATATTTTAATAACGCTCGGCGTGAAAATATATAGGCAGAAATAGGATCTATTATGAAACAATCAGGTAGGTTTTTTTTTGTGTTACACATTATGCTCTACAAGATCAGGAAACGAGGTGTGGAACTCTCCAAAACTGTCTTTTCATGTTTATGTGGTTCATCCAAAATCTGCTTCCGCCTTCTTGTCTCCTCTTCCTCTGCTAAAATTAAACCTCCTATCACCACTTTATCTACATCCATCTTTACTCATAAGTTTTATCTCGCAGACTGTCAACTGTCCTAAATTGTGGATGTCCCGTCCCGTCCGTCCGTGCCGCCCTAGTGCGCGCACCCCCTCTTAAAAATGCCGACCGTGCCGTACCGCCCGTCCATACCATGCCGCCGTATAGTGCGCGCGTAGCCAATGTGTTCTATCATCATGCGAAATTTCAGTCCAATCCGTCCAGTAGTTATTGCGTGATTGAACTTCAAACAAACAAACACACAAACTTTCACATTTATAATATTAGTAAGATAAGGGAGAGTATGTTTTATCCATGGTCGTCTTACTTCTTACTCAAATAGTAGTTTATTGGGATGTAAGAAGATAGTACTGTACATTTAATTTGGACATTTTACAGGTTATGAAAAATCTATTTTCGTAGTCGGTCATTTGTTTCTTTTATTCGAATTAATACCATTTTGTGAACTTCTACAAATAAAATGATTTAGTTTGTATTTTGTATACTGGGGCTTTGTAACCTTGAATGCTTGTCCTTGATAGGTTATATTTGATTCTTTGAAGGCCTATTATATCTGTTGTGCGAGTGTTAACCATAGTTTGGTTCCTTAATATTTCTGTATTATTAACTTACCATTACCCAGAGCTTATATAAAGAAACAAATAATTTAGTATATTGAAGCGTTATTATGCGCGGAGAAAATTCAAAAAAATTGTAATTTTAAAATTCCTATGTTCTTCTTTGGAGAATAAGTCAACTGTTGTAGTTTGCTTATTTATGAACATATTTTGATCAAATTTGGAAAATACATTAATTTCTTCCTAAACTACAGTACCTATTAACATTTTACATCAAAAACACTTTTTTACCCTCCCTGTTGCAGCAAACCTAAGTACTCGTTAAACTAATTCTATTTAAATAGGGAATAAATGTGATATATTTAAGGAGACATTTTAGTGTAAATCCAATGAGGCAAATGGAAATTTGCTAAGTCTGCAGGTTTGCTGCGGCGGGGGTATTTTTCCTTTCTCTGAGCATGCAAGATAATTTGTGGTATTTACTCAGGGGAGGTATAGAAGAGGCTACGATGACAGCTGAGGGCTTCTTATTAGCTGAGGGAACGCCATTACCGTAACAAAACGATCGATAGCCATCGGCTTCGGTGGTCTGATGGTTAGCGTGCCGGGCTGATATACTGCAGAACCCGGGTTCGAATCCCGCCGGTGGCATTAACTTTTTGTCCAAGATTTTTTATTTTCAGCAAGTTTGGTTGGTTTGGTTTGGTTATTACAGTTTAATTTTATTATTAAGTCATTATAAAATTTTAATTGAGCAATTTCTAGTTTTATTTTATAAACAGAATTATTTTTCCGATTACTATAAACTTTTGTTATATTATTTCTTTATCAGCAAGTTTGGTTAGTTCGTTTAGGTTATGATAGTTTAATTTTGTAATTAAGAATTAATAAAATTGAATTTTAGGCATTTATAATTTTATTTTATGAACAGAACTATTTTTGCGATTAGTAAACCTTCATTGCCAAAGTGCTCTCTACTACAGCGCTGTTCACGGAGGAATTTTGAACTAAATGCCTCATTTGTACCTCCCCTAAGTCAGACCCATAATTTGTTGGATGTCTTGTATGCAACTTGTACATCGTTCTTTGACATTTCTTTTCTCAAGGTGTTATTGGGTAGGTGTAGGTACTACTCCCAAATTCAGCGGAGACTTATTTTTTGTTGCTGGGTTCTGGGATGTCTTTTATTTTATTCTTCTGTTTTTTAATGAGTTTATCAATGAGAGAGCTTTTGTACCTGTTGGAAACTGCTATGTATTTCAAAATGTGTATTTCTTTGTTGTAATTTTCTGGGGTGAGTGGTATGGATAATAGTCTATGGACGAAACTATTGTAAGCAGCTGTCTTGTGGTTGAAAGGATGGTGTGATGATGAGTGGATGGTCTGGTCGGTTGTTGTGGGTTTTCTGTATATTTTAAATTCCAGGTTGTGGTCGTCTCTTGTGATTGTTACATCTAAGAAGTTAATTGACTTGTTGGCTTCGGTTTCGAGAGTGAATTTTAATTTATGGTGGACTTTATTTAGGTAATATCCGAGTATCTTGATTTGCCTTTCATTACCATTAACACATTGCGTGCGGGTCGGTCGCCGGCGACCGGTTCCTTATCATTGAGATAAGTTCAATTTTTAAGAGGAAACATGACGGCCGCATTGAAAGAGTTAAATAAAATTAATGTGTCATCCACATATCGGCTGTAGTGAACTATTTTTTCCTTTTGTTTGTTGGAATTTGACCATAAAAAAATAATTTCAATATTATTTAGAAACAGTTCTGAAAGGACGCTGGATAGCGGAGAACCCATTGCTAGGCCTTCATGTTGTGTGTAATTATAAAACTCTAGGATAGAATAAAAGACAGCAATTAAGTACATTTTCATTGATATATGTTTACAATACTAATTTAAACTGACCCTAACAGGTCTTCTACAACAACATTGACATTGTAAATAGGAAAACTTACATCCTTACTGCCTTATTATTGTATTACACTTAAAAAAACTTATAAACATTTATTTGTAGCTAAAAGAAATGAGAAAAAACAGTACCACATATGAACTATTCTAAAATGTCATTGAACTAACAAGATACAATTCAATAAACTTTAGTAATAATAACCTCATGAGCTTCATCTTCGACTATTTTACAAAAGTCCAGATATATTCGTGAAAAAAAAAAATGAAAAACAAATAAATATTCAAAATTAAATAAATAAACAAAAAGAGATATATAATTAGGACTATTTGAATAGATAGAAATAACAAGTTTTCCTTCTAAACATTAGTCTAGTTTGTTCAGCCTTACAAAAACTTAATTACAAATTTTCAGTAGTTGACGATGTAGGCTCCATCGTGGTCCTTATAAGGACTTAATAATCGTTTAAATATACACATGAAAACTACAATAAAATTTTCTCTGATAGCCCTAAACTTTATAATATGGTTAAATTATAAATTCAAACGTAGCCAATACCTATTGACACTATGGTACAATACCAAATTAAATTTTTATTCTTCTAGTTTGAACAGTAGTAGTTTATGTTTACATTTGATTTAATAAAAGAAAACTTCTAATTTTTTATCTCACAATCTTCCAATCATGGTGCTCTACTTTATCTAATGTAAGGAATCCAAATCCCAAAGAATTATTAGACAAAAATTTATCTTCAATTGAATAAATTTTATTTCAACATATTTTACGCTCTACAGGGAAGACGTTTACACAAACCACAAGTTGTTCTTTCATAGCCTTAATTAGCATTTTAGGAAGTAACTGCAATATCTTTATGTTTGAAATGAATACAACGATTAGAAATGTTAATGTCACAATATGCTGTAGAATCTAAGTTTCCCAAACTACACCGGGCCTGATGATACAGATAAGAAAAATCTACAAACAGGGAGCAAATTTTTAGTTTAGTTAAGTTACAATGTTTTCCATTTAATGCTTAAAATTGTATTTGATTGAATCACTAATATTTTAAATCTTGAAGCTTATGTAACAAATAAAATATAATATAACTGATTAAGTAAAAAAGTCGGTAAAAAACTTTCAAATTTGAAATAAAACTTCCCTTGTCCACACCACCAAAGGCCTCAGTTTGCTAATATTTGTTATGCAATTTCAGAACACTGCTACAAGTTTTTCAAATAGGCTATATTAAATTATATGGGTGTATAACTTCCAAATGTTTTGAATTAATCATCAATCTTAAATTGCATTATTACACATTCATAGAAAACAACAACACAGAACGCCAATTAAAAATTAATTTTAGAGAATTCACCCGAAAAGGAATAAGTTAAGCTGTTACTGTAGGTGGCACTGTTAGGTTTGTGAAGACACCCAGGCCCAGGACCGATTTGCTTTTTCATTTTGATTTCCCCAGAGGCCAAAATCCTTATTTGTCTTCTCAAGATAAAAATAATAGTGACTGGAATCTTGATACATTCTTTAAATCTTCTTATCTGAAACAAATAAAAAAAAACATTGGTTCAGTATTTCACAATACAATTTTGTGGTTGATATTTTGTTATCATAGAAA